AAGGAAAATGCTGAATCTCAGTAAGAATAGTGAGGTTTGTGGCATTTTAACTTAGCCCAGGCCCATGCCCACACCTAGCTTTGAGGTAGCCTTGAAAAAGAACAGTCTATATTCCCAGTCCTGAAGGGACAGAATGGACCTCATTTGCAAAGAATTATAATTATTATTGTTTTTTTTTGATCTGGTGCCTTCACAGAAGACCAGTTTAAAATTTGCCTTGATTTGAAACTGGCCCAGTTCAAAAGCTACTGGGAAGGGGCAGTTATTTGTCCAAAACATCTGCAGGCAAATGTTTTACTTGCTGCTGCCTGAGGCTATAGATAACAGTTGGCGTAAATCAAAAAGTTTAGGAGGAAAGGCTGGGAAATGAGATGTCTATAAAGACTGAAAAGTTCACACATATTCCTGATAATCTAGCATGCCATGCATGCTCAGGAATGACATGAGATGGCCGTAGGATCTGACTTCTGGCTGACCTTGAGGTTCTGCACAAAAAGAAAGTGAACACCTAGGCAGAGTTGTAAACTGCTGGGCTGAGTGTTACAAGCATGCACCAACATATACACACAGAACCTCTTTGGCAAAAAGCTATTTTTGGTAAGTATTGGAAATTTTTTGGAAAGTTTAGAAAGGAAATATATGTCCAATCATTAGCTGACCACTAATCTAACAGCAGAACAGTGACTTAAAAGGCCCCAAAGAAATGAGAATTTATAGAATAGTTCATAAAAGTCAGTAAACAAATAAACAACAATAAATAAAATAAGCAGCAAACAACAAACCCTGGAAAGAGGAGAGAACCTGATTTCCAGATTTGCCCCATTATAATATTCAAAATATCCAATTTTCAACCAAAAGTTATAAAGCATACAAAGAAAAAAGAATACACGGCCCAAGCACAGGAGAAAAAATAGAATTTAATAAAAGTTGTTCCTGAGGAGGTCCAGACATTGGACTTACTAGAAAAAGACTTTAAATGAAATAGGTTTAAAAAGCTAAAGAAAACCATATCTAAAGAGCTAAAGGAAAGAATCAGAAAGATGTCTTACCAAATAGAAAATAGCAATAAAAAGATTAAAAATTATATGTTTATTATTTTTAAAAGGACCAAATAGAAATTCTAGGGCTGAAAAGTACAATTGAATTAAAAATTCACGGGACACCTGGGTGGCTCAGTTGGTTAAACATTTGCATTTGGCTCAGGTCGTGATCCCTGGGTCCTGGGATCAAGGCCCGTGTTGAGCTTCCTGCTCAGCAGGGGAGTCTGCTTCTCCCTCCCCCAGCTTGTGCTCTCTCTCTCTCTCTCACTCACCCTTTCTCTCAAAGAAATGAATAAAATCTTAAAAAAATAAATAAAAATTTGCTAGAGAAGTTCAATAGTAGATTTGCCCAAATAGAATTAGCAACATGAAGACAAGTCAATTGAAATTATCCAGTCTGAGGAACAAAAGAGGAAGAAAAATGAAGCAAAAAATTAATAGAGTCTTAAAAGCCTGTGGGACACCATCATATGTATCATGCAAGTACTAGAAGGAGAGAAAAAAGAGAAAGGAACAGAAAAAATATTTCAGAAAATAATGTCAGAAAACTAAAATTTGATGAAAAACATTATCTACACATCCAAGAATCTTCATAAACTCCAAGTAGAATAAACTCAAAGAGATCCACACTGAGACATATCATAATCAAATTACCGAAAGACAAAGACTCTTCGGCGCAGCAGGAGACAAATGACTCATTACCTATAAGGGAGCCTCCATAAGATTAACAGCTGATTTCTTATCAGAAACACAGAGGCCACAAAGCGGAAGGATGATGCATTCAAAGTGCTCAAAGAGGAAAAAAAAAAAAAAAGCCAACCAAGAATTCTATATCTGACAAAATATTCCCTTCACAAATGAAGAAAAATTAAGATATTCCCAGATAAACAAAATGTAAGTTTATTGCTAGCAGATGTATCCTATAAGAAATGCTAAAGAAAGTCATTCAGGCTGAAAGAAAAGGACACTAGAAGGTTACTAGAAGCCATATAAAGAACTAAAGATCTCTGATAGAGGAAACTACATGAGTAAATATAAAGACAGTATGGATGTATTCTTTTAAACCACTTTTTGTTCTATCTGATTTAAAGACAACTGCATAGAGCAATATTTATCAACCTATGTTGATGTGTGCACAACGTATAAAGATATAATTTGTAACAATAACAGCACAGAGCAGCTGAGGTAGGAGAATTGAACTATGGAGGAATGAAGATTTAGAAAACTAAAATTAAATTGATATTAATCTGAACTAAATTGTTATAAATTAGGAGGTTAATTGTAATCCCTACGGCAACCACTAGGAAAAGAATTCAGAAATATATAGTAAAAGAAATTACAAAAGACTTAAAATGGCACAGTAGAAACTAACATAAAAGAAGGCAGTAATGGAGGAACAACAAAGATATAAGGCATATAAAAAACAAATAGCAAAATGGCAGTTCTCCTTCCTTAACAGTAGTTACATTAAATATAAATGAATCAAGCTCTTTAATGAAAAGGCAGAAATTGGCAAAATGGATAAAAAAATGATCCAACTACATGTTGTCTACAAGAGACTCATTTTCGATTCAAAAATTACAAATAAGTTGAAAGTAAAAGGACGAAAAAATATATTCTATGCAAATGGTAACTAAAAGAGAGCTGAAGTGGCTATATTAATATCAGATAAAAAAGACTTTACTTGCTACTAGAGGCAAAGTATTTTCAAATTAATGAAAGGGTCATATAAACATGTGTACACCTAACAACAGAACTCTAAAATACTGAAACAAAAACTAACAGAATTGAAGGAAGGAATAGACAAATGAATAGTAATTGTGGGAGACTTCAATGTTCCACTTTCAGTTACTGCTAGAACAACCAGACAGAAGACATATCATAATCAAATTTTCAAAGTTCTTTCAGCAAGGAAATAAAAGAATTGATAGTGTCAAAGGACATTATCAAGAAATTAAAAAGACAACCTACAGAATGGGAGAAAATATCTGCAAATCTTAAATCTGAGAAGGGTCTAGTATCCAGAAGATATAAAGAAGTCTTACAACTCAACAACAAAAAGACAAACACCCCAATTTAAAAATGGGCAAAGGATTTGAACAGATATTTCTCCAGAGAAGATACACAAATGACTGAGAAGCATATATAAGGTTGCCCGATATTATTAGTTATTAGGAAAATGAAAGTCAAAACAATAATGAGGTAACACTTCACACCCTTTCAGACTTTCATTATAGAAAAAAAAAAAGGAAGTGTTGATGAGAATGTGAGAAATTAGAACTCTCGTACATTCTGGTAGGAACATAAAATGATGCAACCGCTTTGGAAAACAGTTTGGCAGTTCTTCAAAAAGTTAAACGTAGAATTGCCATATGACCCAGCAATTCTATTTCTAGGTATATGCCCCAAATAATTGAAAATGGGTACTCAAACAAATCTGTATACACACATACATAGGAGTACCATTTACAATAGTCAAAAGGCAGAAAAAAACCATGTGCCTATCAACATATAAATGGATAAACAAATTGTGGAACATCCAGACAATGGAATATTATTTTAAAATATCTTATTTATTTATTTGAAAGAGAGAGAGAGCACAAGTGAGGGAACACAAGCAGGGGGAGTGGCAGAGGGAGAGAGAGAAACAGACTCCCTGTTGAGCAGGGAGCCCGATATGGGGCTCCATCCCAGGACCCTGGGATCATGACCTGAGCTGAAGGCAGATGCTTAACCCACTGAGCCACCCAGGCACCCCCAGACAATGGAATGTTATTCAGTCATAAAAAGCAGTGGAGTACCAATACATGCTACAATGTGGATGAACCTCATAAACATTATGCAAAGTGACAGAAGCCAAACACAGGTCACATACTACATGATTCCATTTATGGGTAATATCCAGAGTAGGTAAACTCAGAGAGAGAGTAGGTTGGAGCTTAACAGTGGCTGGGGGAAGAGGAAATGGGGAATAACTGCTTAATTGGGTATGGGGTTCTTTTTGGGGTGGTAAAAATGTTCTGGAACTAGATGGAGGTGGTGATTACATAACACTGAGAATGTACTAAATCCCACTGAATCATTTTAAAATGATTAATTTTATCTTACATGAATTTCACTTCAGTGAAGTTTTTTAAAAGGAATAAAGTACTGTTCCAAGCTTCAACGTGGTTGAATCTTGAAGACTTCATGCTAAGTGAAAGAACCCAGACCCCAAAGGCCCTGTATTGTATGATATCATTTATATGAAATGGCCAGGATAAGCAGATCTATAGAGACAGAAAACAGATTAGGGTTCACAAGGGCTAGAGAAGGTGGGGTCACTTGGTACTGACTGCTCATCCCAAATGGAATCTTTGGGGGTGGGTAGAAATATTTTGCAATTAGATGGTGATGATTGTCGCATGACCTAGGGAATATATTGAAAACCACTAAACTGTATGTTTTGAAATAGTGAACTTTGTGTTATATGAATTGTATCTCAAAACAGAAAAAAGTATTCAGAGGAAAGATGCAGGAAAAAAGTGTTGTAGGGGCATGTCTGCAGTTGATTATGGTTATGATAAAATTATTATGTCACTTTTTCTGAATTCCGTGGTGCTTTACCGCTTTTTATTACTCGTAATTTGTTGTGATCTCTTCTCTTACTCTAAATGAGTAATCACTTTTGTACTTATTTTGTGTTTTTTTTTTTCCCGGTAGAGTTCTCCAACACTCACTCTCCTCGGAGTTCCACTTCTCCTCCTCTAGTTCCACTTCTTATACGACCACGGCCTTCCTTTGGGTTACTACCCGCCTGCACAGTCAGCCAATTGCCTAACTGCTCTACAGTTTCACAAGCCTCTGCCTCCCACCAGCCTCCAGACTGCTGCCAGGGAAAATCTCGGAAAATCTCGCGGAAACGCATGCAGTAGTCCTCCCTCAGCCGCGGGGCACTTTGGCGTTCCGTAGTTTCCGGTCCCCGGGGTCAACCGGGTTGGAAGCAGATGAGCCTCCTTCCGACTAATAGGCAGAGCGTCGGCGGTAGCCTGGCCGGCCTCGCAACGCCTCCCTCCTCTCCTGTTCCCATCACCTCCCCTCAGGGTAGGCGTTTCATCGGCTCACAGCTACACCAGGAGGGTGAGTACGTATAAGATACTTCGGGAGAGAGGCGAGACTGCACTCACATAACTTTGTTGCAGTGTATTGTTATAATTGTTCTATTTTATTATTGTTGCTAATCTCTTACTGTGCTTCATTTATATGTTAAACTTTATAACAGGTATGTATGCATAGGAAAAAACAGTATATGTAGGGTTTGGTATTCCCTGCCATTTAAGGTGCCTCTGGGGGTCATGGGACGTTGTCCCCTGTGGACTAGCGTATTTTCTTCCTCCTCCTTTCTAATGAGAAACCTTCCAAGGCTCTCTGCTTGTACGATAAGGAGCAAATTTCTTAACAGAGTCCAACGCCTCTTTCCAGATCCATCTCTTAGTCTTCGCCTCACTAAATTGTATCTCTGCATCAGAAGTCCTATCCAACTCTCCCGTGTTCTCTAGAAGCTCAGGTTTTTTATATCTCCTATTATCCTCTTTTCCCTTACCTGTGATGACCTTCCTGCACCTTCTCCTCTTGGAGAGTTCATCTCTATGCTCAGCTCAAGTGTTGTCCCTGCAAGGTTTCTCGGTTCCCTCTGCAACTCTTGAAATCCCGTATTGTTGTTATTTGTTCAAATATCTGTGCATTCTATACGTTTACATATCAACTAAAATTATTTGAACTATTTTCCTGTGCGTATGACTATATATAAAACCTATATATGTGTGTTTTCTCATATACATGTTTTAACATATACATATATATTTTTAAAATTTGTTTCCTAAAGAACTAGGTGTCTACAAACATATCCAAGGTAGGGACAGTGTCACATCTATTTAAAAAATGTTTTTCTCAGGTGCCTGAGTGGCTCAGCCTGTTAAGTGTCTGCCTTCGGCTCAGGTCATGATCCCAGAGTCCTGGGATCGAGCCCCACGTCGGCTCCCTGCTCAGCGGGGAGCTTGCTTCTGCTGCTCTCCCTGCTTGTGTGCTCCTCTCTTTTTCTCAAATAAATAAATAAAATCTTTAAAAAATAAATAAATAAAATAAAAAATGTTTTTCTCTGTAGTCACTGTATTTTCTGCACATACAATGCACTTACCCACGTGCCGGGCATTGATACAATAGAGTAAATGCTTTCTGAATTTAATTGAATTGGAAGTATATATGTGTGTGTATAAACATTCTTTCCCTTAAGGACTTTAGGCACTGAATAAAGAAATAAGCACATGAGAACAATTAAGAATATTAATATTATAAATAAATGTCAAGTGGCATACTGCAAAACAAATGAGCGCTCGTGGCCCACAGGGTGCAGTGGACTGTATCATCATCACAAATGCGTTAGAGCTGATCAAAGGCAAGCTTATTGGAGTAGAGGGGTAGTAAATAGATACAGGTGAAGGGTGTTGGCTCAGGGTAAGGAGACAAAGTGTTCTCTTTGGGAAGGAAAGAACGTGAAGGCTCTTAGGATGTGGGGAGAGAATTTTAACATTTTCGTGTGGAGACAAGGGAATTCTTTGATCCCAGTGGGAGGCCTTCAAGTAATTTAGTGTTTCCTTGGATGTGCTATCTTGTACTGAGATTAAAAGACATATATGGTAATCTAAGAATTTTTACTACTTCAGGGAAAGCTTCCCCTGAATCCCCAAATCCCATTTTGTGACGAAGAGGGGAATGGGGACCCAGTTAGTTACACGGAGTCAATTCATGGAACCCAAATAAAAGCAGACTTTGCTTTCCTTTCTTCCTTGTTCTTTCGCACTCCCTCCGCACTCTGAGGGCTTCCCAGGAGTTGTGGCAGACCGAGCTCTGCCAGGGACTCATTGGTGGATTAGTGGAAAGTAGAAGACACTTTTCTCACTTTATTCTAGGAGACTGGAATTCCCAGAAGACCATGCAAAACAAAACAAAGCCACAAGTCACACTGTATTTTGTGTGTGAGAGGAAGAGGAGGAAATCATCTCTCTTTTGGTATGCTGATGGAAAAGAGATTTATAAGCTCCTTGGGGAAGCATGTGGTTTGTTTATTATGCAAATTTTGATCTGGTGTTCTATGGTTTTCTTCCTCTTATTTTTCTCTCTCACACAGTTTGGGAAGGTTTGCTTTGATGCCTTTTCCCTTATTTCTTGCTCCTCACGTCCCAAAACCTGCTGGTGCCTAATGTCCTAAGCGCCACCGAGACCCTTTGGGAGGATTTGACTCTACCTCAAAGTGTGAACACTGACATGCCCAGAGGACAAGATGCTCAAGAACCTGGAAGAAGGAACTCCAATGGGAGAACTGAAATCATGAGATGAGCCATGGGAGGGATTTGGGGGATGTAACAGAAAATTTCAAACCTCAGCAAAACCGGTGACTGATATTTTGTTTCTCCCTTCCTTCAACAAACCATCGAATGTATACTATGCATTTGGCACTGGGCTATTTGAATGACATTGATGGGTAACTACAAAAAAAAAGGATCTTTTTGAGGAGATAGACCATCAGCGAATCGTGTAAGTAACTGTAAAGTTGCCACTGTGTGTTAGAAAAGAGAAGTTAGGGCTTGAGTGGTGGTGAGTGGGGGCACTTCCAGGGAAAGAGGATGTCAGACTCAAGGCCCTGTAGCCAGAGAGAACCTAGCTAGTTGGAGAGATTAAAAGAAAGTCAGTGTGGCCATTAAAGATTTGGTTAAAAAAAAAATCACTCTGGCTGCTCTGTAGACAAGAGTCAAAGTGGATGAGGAGAATTCTTCGGGAGGCCACGTGTAGCTTATAGAACCTGAAGTCTGGAAAACAGCCGGCCTCAAGAGAGTCTGGAACCTAGCCCTGAAAGCTTCTGTGTCTCTGCCTCTCTCTTTGTCTCTCTCTCTCCTTTGTCTCTCCCCCCTCCCTTTGTCTCTCCCCCTCTCCCTTTCTTTCCTCTATCTCCCTCCTCCTCCTCTCCCTATCCCCCTATTTTTCTTCTCTCCCTCTGTTTTCTCATATTCTTTTGCTGCCTCCTTCACATACCTGCATTATCCGTTGTTCTCTCTGCACCCAGATTAGACTTTACCTAATCTTCCACTTCAAAGACCTAGAAGAAAGAGAGAGTGGGGCACCTGGGTGGCTCAGTTGGTTAAGCGGCTGCCTTCGGCTCAAGTCATGATCTCAGGGTCCTGGGATCAAGCCCTGCATTGGGCTCCTTGCTCTGCAGGGAGCCTGCTTCTCCCTCTCCCTGATGCTCTGCCTACTTGTGCTTTCTCTGTCAAATAAATAAATAAAACTTAAAAAAAAAAAAAAGGAGCTTGCCTAGAATCTCTCTGTATCCCCCACCCCACCCTTGTTAATTCCTTGCTGAGTTAGCGGAGACTCACCACTTGGGGGGAAGAGCATGTGAGGGCATCATGCATGATTTTAGTGACTCACCACCAGAGTTCTCAGGGAAGGGGATTGGCTGGCCAGACCCCCTCATGTGTTTTTCACTAATACATGATTGTCCATCCCCATGTTCTATGCATTGATCAAACACAGATTTTTATTTAATTTTTTTAGAGATTTTTTTTGTCACAGCGCTCGTGTGTGCACAAGCAGGGGGAGGGGCAGGCCGAGGGAGAAGCAGGCTCCCCACTGAGCAGGGAGCCCAATGCGGGACTCAAACCTAGGACCCTGGGATCAAGACCTGAGCCAAAGACAGATGCTTAATTGACAGCCACCCAGGCGTCCCCAAACATACAGATTTTTTAAAACAGCCACATGGTGGGGGGGCAGTCTATTACCCTGAGGCAGAAGAGCCACCATGCACTGTCAAACATATTACTTGTGTACTGGGTACTGTGATAGGTGCTGGAGAAACAAAAGCAGCCCCAGACCTCAAACTGCTCCTATCTTCTGCAGGAGGCAGGCATATTAACTAAAACCCTTCACATTCCTGAGTACTTTGCAGAATATTTCTTGTCTTCAGTTCAATTTAGCTCAATTCAGTTACATACTATGGGCACCGTGAGAGGGAACACAAAGATAAATGCCTGGACTCTACCCCCAAGGAGTTCAGAGTCCAGGAGGGGAGACAGACATATCAGCAAATATTAACGATGCAGAGTGGCAAGTCAACCCTGTAGGTGAAAGACTCACAGGCAGGAAAGAGAAGGGAGTGATTATATCCCCCACTCCCAACAACACACACACACACACACACACACACACACACACTAATAATCATAGATGTCTTCTTGGAAGAGGGGGCACCTACTCTGGGCTTCGGAAGGCATTCCAGGCAGTGGGATTGGGGCACAAAGAACATAGAATGATACTGTTGGAAGGTGAAGTGGTGGTGGTGGTGGGAAGGCAGTGATGGTGAGATTGTGAAGGCCTTTGTGTACTCTGATCAGGAGTTATGCGGGGGCGCCTGAGTGGCTCAGTTGGTTAAGCGTCTCCCTTTGGCTCAGGTCATGATCCTGGGGTCCATCCTGGGATCGAGCCCCGTGTCGGGCTCTGTGATCAGCAGGGAACCTGCTTTTCCCTTTCCCTCTGCTTGTTTCCCCACTGGTGCTCACTCTCCCGCTCTTTCTCAAGTAAATAAAATCTTAATGATGTGCATCTACAAAAGACCATAGGGAGTAGAGAAATGTGAATGGTGTGTGCACTCTGGCAGGAGCATGGAGGACTGGTGATGTGGAGGCCAAGCTACAGGTGGAGAGCATTTGGAAGATGATGAGGACCTAAGGCAAGTCCATAGGGATGAAGTGGAGAGGCTTGACATGAGAAAGGTTTAGGAAAGAATTTGAAGGTTTGGTGACTAGTTGGATATGTGTGTGTGTTGGGGGGTGGGGTTGGGGATGTCACAGAAAAACATCCAGAATTAATCCCAGGTTTCTGCCTCAGGCCAAGAGAGAATATGGAAGGAATAGGAACAGTGGGAAGAACAGGACAGAGAAGCGGGCATCATTGAAGCTGGAGGAGGTTAGGAAGCATTTACATGGAAGTTTTTAGGAGAAAGTTGAATATACATGTCTGGAGCAGGAGGAGAAAGAACTGAAATGAAATATGAAATCTGGAATCTAGGTGTTAGAACCAAGGGAGAGGTTGAAATCTTCTCAACAAACAAGATAGGAGAACCCAAAACAGGACTGTTGGTCTTTCACAGGATTAGTAGAGTAAAATGATTAAGGGAAAGACATAAAATAGGAGAAAGTATCTCATAAGGGAAAGACATAAAATAGGAGAAAGTATCTCAAAGGGAAAGACATAAAATAGGAGAAAGTATCTCAAAATCAAAAGGAGGAGAACGTGGGTAAAAGTATCAATTGCTACAGAGTGATCAGGAAAGACTCGATAAGGATTTGGCAGTTAAGAAATTGTCGGAAGCCTTTGCTTGGGTATCTTTCCCTGCATTGTTGGGAATGGGAGACCAATTACCGGGTTGGTGAAGAAGTGGTGTTACGAGTAGAGATTATTCCATCAATACACTTGACTTTGAAGGAATGGAGAGAGAAAAGTCAGTAGCTAGAAGGGAGCACTGGGTTTGGGGAAGGGTTTTATGTGTTGGAGTCTCAAACATGTTTATAAATTGAGGGGAAGGTTCCTGTTGAAAGGGAAGTTGAAGGTTTGCCTGAATGGCTCAGTTGATTAAGCATCTGCCTTCCACTCAGGTCGTGATCCCGGAGTCCTGGAATCCAGTCCCACATCGGGCTCCTTGCTCAGCGGGGAGCCTGCTTCTCCCTCTGCCTGCAGCTCCCCCTGCTTGTGCTCTCTCTCTCTGACAAATAAATATATAAAACCTTAAAAAAAAAAAAAAAGAAAGAAAAAAGAAAGGGAAGCTGAAGAGTGAGATGTCCCCAGAGAGACAGAAGGCAATGGATTCTAATATACAGCTGGAGACACTAATCTTCAACGAAAGGAAGAATACATCTTCCCCTAAAATTGTAAGAATGGCAATGGATATAAAAAGGTTTTTTTGTTTGTCAGTTGGTTGCTGTAAAGGAAAACTTACGAATTTTAAGCCTAATGGCCACCATTACTCAAATATAAAGAAGGCCATTTTCGAGGGTGAAGAATCAAGAAAAGAGGCATGAGAGGGCAATGCTTTTTAATATCTGCTGTGGTCATCAGAAGAATGAAACTTACAAAGTGGAACTCACTGGCATTGAAACCACTGGAGAGATCATAAATTAGTGGAGGTGCCCATCAGCAGTCCAGAGACTCAAGTGTCTTGCCCATGTCATCCTACTAAACCCAGTCTGACACAACTTGAACCAGATCCTGGAATGCATTTACAAATGAGTATCATTCCCTTTAATCAAGCCAGAGATAACCAACAAGGCTGGATAGAGAATTGGGGGTTTATGAAGCTCTCTCTCTCTCTCTCTCTCTAATTCCTAGAAGCTCCGGGCTCTTTCCTTATGAGCTAAGTGTTCGAGTTAGATGAGTGAATATAAAACCAATGCAAAAAGAGTCTGCTAAAATCACTGAATTTGTGGATTCTGCCAGTGGTTACTGAAGGCAGGTTTTCTGGCTTTAGGAGACCCCTTCAAGCTATTAGATCTTCATTGAAGATGAGACAATGGGAAATGTACTTAAATTGCAGCAAAATGTCAATAAAGAAGGATGTTCTAAGAAGGGTGGGCTCTCAGAGGACAGACAATAACCTGCTGAGGTGATCCTTAGGAACAAACATCTCAGGCGGTTTTACTTCAGTCCTAGGAGGATGATTTATTCCCTTTTAGGTCTATGCCACAGTTTGATATTAGGTAAAAAGAATATATAGTAGTAGCACACAACATAAAATGGGAACAGCACATAATACTTTGTTTTTCTTTGCTTTACATTTTATTTTATTTTCTCTTATAATGGGCACATTAGAAGTAGCTGCTATGTAAAAATAATCTGGACATTGAAGTAGAATAAGTCATATGTAATTACTAATTGTGTCATAGCCCCATCAGAGAGAGAGGGAGGGGGGAGAGAGCAGAGAGAGAGAGAGAGAGAGAGAGTGCACTTCATAAACCCCCAATTCTCTATCCAGCCTTGTTGGTTATCTCTAGCTTGATTAAAGGGAATGATACTCATTTGTAAATGCATTTGGCAAACTTACCCTGCTATTGTTTCCATTATTTTGCAAATTACAGACATTGAGATGAAGGCTCTGTAATTTCTGAGCGTTCCCTTTATTCCTGCTTGGAAAACTGGTGTTGCCCTGGCGTACTTCCACTTTGCTGTGATTTCATTTGAATACAGCAAATTCTTTATTATGATTAACAAAGACTTCTGCTCCATTCCTCTTTGAATATCAGTCTGCTCATGGAGATGAGTTGATTTTGAGCCCTGCTGTCTACTTGAATCTCTCTGCTTCGCTGATCTCAAAGATGTTCAAGACAACAGACACCCAAGTATTCCTAAATGACATGTTTTTTGTGTGTTCTCCCTTTTGAATTTGTTATATGTTTAGTAATTTTACCATCGTCTGGAACTTTTTTCTCTTCTCTAATTGTCTGATTCTAAATGTCTCCTTCGTGCATTACTTAAAAGCTTGAAAATATACATGCAGTTGGCTTTGGTAATCTTGCTATTTTTAAGCTTCTTTCTCTTTTAATATTTCAGTTTTCCTTTTTCCTCAGACATACATCTCTCAAGGTTTTACAGTATTTTGTAAACAGTCTTGATACCAGGAACTTTGGGGCATCTGGAATATACAGATGGCTTTCCATGAGCACTCTACATTTCTAATTCATTCATTAGTCATTGAGCTGGAATCACTTTTCCCCCAAATCAGACTCCCCTTCTTTAAATATTGCCTGGATGTCCACCCAATATAATACTCATGTAGCAGTCCTTACACTTAGGGAGTGCTAATTAAATATTTGCTTCCTAAGATCAGTCAGATTTAGAAGAAATCACATTAAGAGAACTCTTGTAGGGCTTGCTTGCTGGAAAATGCTCGTGCATGACTATGATCAGATACAACATTCTTCTCTTATTCCTCTTTTCCCTCGTTTTCTCTTGTCTTTTTTTCTCTATCTCCTCTGCCGTATCAGCATCTCTGGTCACCCCTTGCTGCTTCAACTCTGTCAGCCAAATATTGGAAGGAGTATGTGGAGGTGAGGGTAGCGCAGTCCTTTTTTTCATATTGGGCAGATAGCATTGTGGAAAATGAGGATCCTAATAGCAACAATAATGCCTCATACTGATTG